AATCAATTATAAATAAAAAGTTTGTTTCGGTGATTAGCTTTTGAATTCAGTCGTTGGCAATTGTCATCATTTAACCTGCGCTAAAAACTGTTGTTGAATAAACTTAAGTCCCTGCCAGAAGTAAGTACTGAGTGAGGACAACTTGCAGCAAGACAGTCTTTTCGAGCGGTACGGTATTTTAAAAGGGTAGGCAAATAATTACAAGTTTAGGTAAATGGTTCAGGTACTCTATAGAGGCATTTAAAGAAGAAGCTATGCTAAAAGTTCCTCCGAATTAAAAATTCTGTTGGCAGTCGCAACAACTATAAGTAGCAACTTCAAAGTTTTCGTTACGGCTGACTACTACACTGAACACAAGCATTTTTGGAAAGGATTCTGCGAAGACTCAGTGTTTGTGCTCAGACATTTTTTAAGAGATTATTTTTTATTTCTGACATAACTAAGATGCAATCTGTTGCCACGTTAAAATTTTTGGCATTGACTTCAACGGCTGGGCGTTTTCCGAATTGCTGTGGGTTGACTTCCCAGCATCTTTAACGATTACGGGAAGTTTTGACAGCTGTATTGAAGGTCTCTGCTTTAGATTTTCGGGGTCAAAATTGCTTGATCCTCCAACATTTTCTTTTTTTTCCCATTTTCTTACTCCAATACGTCTGTCAAAGTCAAGCTTCGGATCGAAGTGAGGTAATTCACATGGCACCACATCAGTAGAATCATCCCTGTTTTGCACTGCGGCTGCTTCATTGGAATCTGTTCTTGATTTTCTTTCGCTGAAACGCGATAAATGTAATCGAACTGTTACTGAAAGGGTTTTCTTGCCCTAACTTTTTTATTTGACTATACAGAGTGGTTCAGAATACAGTTTTATCTCTTTTTGGAGCGTGTATCTAAAAGAAATGAGACTATTAGAGCTTCGGTAGCAAACCAGCTCTAGCAATGGACTAAAAATGAAGCTAGATTACCACCAAATCTAGCTGTTTTAAAACATTACAACTCTTTTCACTCAAGGAAAATTTTCGCAGTTCTTGGTTCATTTGGTGAGATATCTTATGTAGTTAACGGGAACTGCTTAGCTTAATTCTTTATATCGTGCAAGAATTATTAAAAAAGTAAGAGCTTTAAATAAGTATATCAAAAAAAGTAGCTCTATTGCAAAAAAAGTGCCGACTCGCAAACGTTCTTTTTTTATCGTCAACTTCACTTCGTTTTTGAATACGGAGTTTTGGACACCGCCTAATGCATCTGATAACTGCAGAGTTGTACGCGTAATTCTTACCATTTCTAACGGTTTAATACTAAAAATTCGCTATATGCTTCGCTAGTTCATAACGTATCTGCCATGTCCGCAGGTGGTGTCATGGATGACGCGCACGATTCGCAGTCGCAATCATAGCAGTCGCAGATGGAGTCAAATCTACATTCGTGCAGTTCCTCTAATCACAGCCCTCACGCTTCTTGCCCATTTTCTGGTCTGTTCAAAAACACCTAATTGATCAGAATTTTTTATTTACAAAGAACTCAGCGAATGGCACTAAGCGAGTTTATTTTCCAGAAAACTTTACTTTTACCAATTTATAAACCTCTCTAGCTGCTTTTCATTGTGACAAAGATAAATAAAAAAGCTAAGTTGTTGAAATCTAACAGGAATGCTTTGTCCCGTGTTTTCGTTTTAACAGTCTTCTGTTTTCTATTACCTCTTCAAACCATTTTACGTCTTCCATAATCTGTAATCGCCTCTCTTCACCTCTGTTAGAAGTTGCTCCTTCCACGCTTTGGCTACTCTTTTGAATTCAGAAGCAACTAGAGAGGTTTACAAAGCGGTAAAAGCAGACTTTTCAATTAGTGCCATTTGTTAATTTTTATGTGAACAAGAAAACCACTGTAATTAAATAAGTATTTCTAAGCAGACCAGAAAATGGACAATAAATATGAGAATTGTGAGTAGACGAATTGCTAGAAG